ACAGAAACACATCAAATATGCTCTCCAAAACTGTGGATATCGAAACTGGGCATTTACCAAATCAGCAAGGAAATCCAAAAGACACGAAACAGAAGACAGCGATGGGAAAATTAAATGCAAAAACATCACAATCCCTTACGTTACTGGAGTCTCTGAAAAACTCAAGAGGATTTTCTCCAAACACAAAATCCCAGTACATTTAGTGCATCCTAAAGTTAGACAGGTTTCAGGTATTACAGGAGACAATCCCCCCTTTAACGACCAACCTTCAGAATCATAGACAGGTTTCAGTTATTACAGGCTAACAATGGAACCAAATGACCTGCTCATCGGTTTCAATTTGCATGTTTCCAAGCAATACAAGGCCTTGTCTATATAAAGACTCAAACTCACTGCAGATCCAGACATTTGAATTGAGANTATGCCACAAAGAATTGAGGCAGTTCTGAAGGCAAAAGGGGGTCCAACCCGTTACTAGCATGGGGTACCTAATAAAGTGGCCGGTGAGTGTAGATATACTATATATTGTATATAGTTTATTGTATGTTTTATATTCTATATAGCAATAGGCTCTGTATATATATTTTGTCCACACCATCAACAAGTCAAATTCCTTGTAAGTGCAAACCTGCTTGGCAATGAACTTTATTCTGATTCAGATTCTCAGTATATGACCGACTCAGCTTCTTTTAACTGTAAATCCAAAACTGCAGTTTTATGTACTGATTGATTTGGTGAATGTAACTTTTGAACAAATCATTGGTTTCTGACAAAATAACTTCTGCTCCCATTATTACAAGGTAAGTCAAGAGACATTTATTTTTACAGCACATTTAATTAGCAAGATAATTCAAAATGCTGTAAAGAAAATAGATCCAGCCCAAGGACTGAGAGTGAAGCTCAGACCATGGATCTTGGGGGCTCGATCTTAGACTCTATTGACCTGATTAGATAAACACCGAACAATTTTTGCTCTTTGGAAAGTTGAAAGATAAAACATATACTATTAAAAAAAATATAAAAAGACAGCATGGTTTTGATTAGAAAAGCAGCACTCAATCAAATACCAAGAATTCCGACTCAACGCTTTCTGGACAGATGTGACCGGAGAGGAAATAAGCACCATAATTAACTATGTTTGTAGAAATACCAAGCACAGCAAATCAGCAAGAAGACCCTCATATGCTGTCAAGCAGGGTTACGGAGAGGAGATGATTTTTTTTTTTTTTTTCTATCACAACCACAGGATGCAACAAACTTGGTCATTCATTGTTATATGTTGCATATAATGTGTTTAACCACTAATCGAACACCCAGAACATTAGCTCTTTATTTTTGTTTCATCTGCAGAATCCTTTGTGTTCGTTGCTCAGGCTCAGGCTCAGTCTGTGTCAGATTTTCTGTACATGGATCCTCTGGACCAGAAGGCCCCAAGCTTTTCAGCTGCTGATCGACAAAATGGTACCAGGGACGACCCATGACCCAAATTATTAGTTGCGTGCAAAACATTTCAAATATTGTATTATAAACAGCATTGACATCCAGAGTAATTAGTTTTGCCCATTTGTTGTGATGATATTTCATCTTTAAGAACTTTAACATAAATGTTTATTGTTTAGATCTTTTTTTTCCTACTGGTCCTTAGGGCCTCTCACCTGTCTGGTCCACCAGGGACACTTTAAACTTAACTGACAGAAATAGGACACTATAAAGCTGGAACATTTTTCTTTAATAGAAAATAATTTTGCATTAATGTTATTTTCCTGTGATTTGGCTCCAATTGAAACAAAGTTTTTCTTCTAAGTTTTTCTGCAACCAACAACAGAGTTTGCTGTGGAGCAACATCTCCTTTGTGTCATTCCTTTCTGAGGTCTGCAGAGAAGTCAGCAGGGATGTCATTAGTGTTCTCTGTCCTCTCAGGACAAATGGACATCTGCTCCTAACTGGTCGGTCTGGTTCAGCTGCTTCAGAGGGAATTACAGGAACTGTTGCCATTATAAAGACTCCTCTGGGACATGATGACATGATGAGCTGATCTTGGACATCCCTGAGTTCACTAATGAGCTGGAATGATGCAATTTCTTCAAACAACTCTAGAAATGTTCTGTAGCTGATACAGAAACAGAGATGCAAAAGTTTATTTTCCTACTAAGCCTGATTAAAAAAAAGAAAGCACTCTCATAATCAGTTAAATCTGACTTTCCACAGAAGGAGCTCCACAGCAGTGTATCATCTCTTTTCTAACTCAAAAACTCTTAAGTATAGATGTTACTAATGGTTTGTGATCTGATAAATCCAGAGAGGCGTTGACAAGTTTATAACAAAATGCAGATTAACTTTGCACTAGGTGGAAGGAAGAAAACTAATTTGTTTCTGTTACAGAGGTAACAACGTAGAAATTAGAAAGGAAATGTAAAGATTATGAAACATGGCTACAACGACATTCTGTAAGCATAAATAAGGCAAACCCCCTCAAGCTGTTTACATTTTTATATGCCAAGAAACTAGATAATAATTTAAATCTTAGTTTCCCCCTATCCAAACTTCAAAGCAACAAGACATCTTCTATGCTTTACTTTATATTGTCCACCAGGTCCTTATTCACAATTTTATAAGTTTCTATCTGATTTAGTGTCAAATACTGACAAAGTCATTATAGTGATGGTTATTAATGCCAGTCCTGAAGGTGAAAGCTAAAATGCAGCCTTTACTGATACCTTAGACTCGATTAGGTTTGTTTAAAATGTGCATAGTCCCACGCATTCTAATATTCATACTTTGTACCTGAAATATGCTGAAATATGGCATTGACTGTGGAGCAATAATAGTATTTCCTTACAAGCCTGTACTGTCTGATTATTTTTTGTAACCTTAACAGAGTTCTATTCCCCTGAAAGAAGTCGCAGATAATTGTCAGATTATACAATAGTAAATAATAAAAACAAATATATATTTTTATCTCCTCTGCATTACTGAATAATACTGCTGAGGGAAACCATTTAATTGATGATTTTGATGATGCTGTTACTTCATTTCTCTATGCTACTTTAGACAATGTAGCCCCTCTAAAAAGAAGAAATGTAGTAATAGGAGGCTGTCTCCTTGGTTAAATGCGGATTTGTGCACCTTGAAGCATAATGCTAGGAAACTGGAGAGAAATGGTGCTCTACATGCCTACAGGAATCCTACCTAATCTAAAAAAAACAGTGTACTGCTGTATAAAATATCCCTTTATAGAACTAGATCAGCATATTTTTATTCATTAGTAGAGGAGAATAAGAATAATCCTAGATATCTTTTTTATACAGCCATCAAACTCACCCAGAACCATGGCTCTTTTAAACCGTCCATCCCCCCTATTCTTAACAGAAGTCATTTTATGGGGTTCTTTATTAATAAGAGTTTTTTCATTGGTATCTCTCTAACTATAATAGGTTCAACTCTGGAAGATACAGCAGCATCTGAGGTAACTACAGAGCATAAAATGAGTTTGGACTGTTTTGATCCAACTGAGTTTTCAGTGCAAAACTGTTTAAATTTTAGGCGTATACATAGAGTATTCATAACAAGTCCAGAGCATATGTCCAAAGACAGCCTAACTTATGAATAATGCATGGCAGCATAATGCCCATGAAATATCTCAAGCCAGTGTCCTGAGGGGGGCAGCGGTGCACCTGGAGGCCCCTGACCTGCATAAAAAGATTTCTTTGATTGCGGTATTAGTAAAATAAGGTTTGCAGTCGCAGCACATTCAGCATCATGTCTGCTAGGAAGTTTGTTGGCCGTGAACACAGGAAGAATCCATCAGACTCACATGCACCCTATGATGGGGATGAAGTCTGGCGGAGTACTGACAGTTTCCTCCTGTGAACCCCCTTTTATACCATTATACAGTAACTGGAAGTTAAAAACACGTTCCACGGTCGTATGGAAGACTTCAAATACATTGATATGCGTTGAAATAAGTTCTTGATAAGTTATGTACAAGTTAGTCATAGGGTTTGGATAAGCTACACGCCACGAATTACACTTAATTAACATCTGTCAACGATCAGATAACTTACCTGTAACTTATTGCCCACGTATGGCATACGGTGGCATACATTTTGAGCATGAGCTAAATTTCTCGTCATACTTGCCTAATGTCGACGTGTGCCAGCGTGTTTCAGCGTGCTTCAGCATGCTCATAACTTATATAAAACATATAAAGCCTATACGTAACCTAAACGTAAAAAAAATTTCTACCTAAACGTATAAAACCTATAACTTATCCAACGTATGCCTGCGTTTTTGCCAGAGTTTTCGTACATCAGGCATATGCTGGTTTAAATCATTAAGGTGTGACAGGGGCTTTAGAACAAGTTCCAATCAAGTTATTTAAGGAATTGTTCCCTCTGATTTCCACCTCATTTTACACATGATTATTCTTTCCCGGTCTCATGAGTTGTTATTGCATCCTGGCACCTGCACTGACACTGAACACAGTCATTATAGTTTTGCAACAGAGTGGTGGAGTGAGGAGTTATCTCCATTGTCTTCATCAGAAACATGTACAGTTTTTTATTAACTTTTATAAGAAAGTAAATAACTATTTATTTTCATCTTCCATTATAATTTATTGTGAGTCCCTAAATGTCGGAGGAGCCAGTCGCAAAGTGTAGCATCCCAGGGCAGGGCTGCAGATTTCCAGGGTTACTTCACATGAGGAGAGTGTTTAAACAAACAGTTTTAGACAAAAAAGCAGGATTTGATATAGTGTGCAGGTAATTGTCACAAAGCTAGCTGTAAATGTGTGATGTGTGATGTGAATGATTAAACATTGAAAACATGAGAAAAGGGGTTGGAAGACAGAGGTTTGTTTTAGTAGTGGCCAACACTAAACCTTTCTAAGAGAGTTAGCATCAAATTCAGGAAAATATGTATTGTCAAGTTAGCTTCTGTTTTTTTACACTGCGTATACAGGCCTGTACACACAGGTACACTGTAAGGAGGTGTTTAGGTTAACTCCAGGTACAGTGGTACTCGGCTGAACCTGCCACCTGGGCCTGTGAGGCTGAAGCCCTGGAGGACTTCTAAAGAAAAAGACCCAAAAAAACGGCATTTAGAAGTACACACATACAAAAATTGTGGTACTTGCATAAAAGAAAAATCCACAATGGTCACAGAAATAGCTTAAATATGACAAAAGTAAATTCTATGAAAATTAAGAAAATAAATTTAGGATTTACTTTCAAAAAATCCTTCAGCAGAGTGATTTAAAAGGAAAAAAATATTTACTCCTTAAATATGCCTGGACAAAACTAATAGTACCTTTGGCTTAAACATATTGTTCCACAACCTTTAGAGGCAATCACTGCAACCAAACGATTCCTGTGACTGTCAATGATAAATCTGCTCCTCCATTCAAGTATTTTGTTCAACTCCTTATGAGAAAACTGCTCCACTTGTTTCAGGTTTGAAGGGGGCCTTTTCCAGAAAGTATTTTTCAGCTTCTTCCAAAGATGCTCAATAGGATTTAGATTTTATTCTTACAAGCCGAATAGAATAGTCCAATGTTTTCTTCTCAGCCATTCTGGGTGTTTTTAGCTGTATTTTGGGTCATTGTCATGTTGACCAAGCTTTCTAACACAGTTCTAACACATTCTCTTTATGATCCCCTGATATTCTTGAAATTTCATTGGAACCTGTAGAGATGGACACCCTGTGCCAGATGAAGCAAAGAAGCCCCAGAGCATAACATAGCTTGCTCCATGTTTGTCAAGTGATTCAATCTTTGCTGTGCTATTCCCACACTTGAAGGGTTGTATTAAGCTGAACATTAAACTGGGTTCCACTCAATGACCAAACTGTTGTTTCATCTTTTCCTTTTTTATTTTTCTTCTTGTGTTGTTTACAGATAATCATTTAATTAAGCAGGTGAAAAACCTTTAAAAGAAATGAAACCAAACAAAGCATTTACCACATTGCACATTGTAATAGTTCTGATAAATGTATCAGTAAATATATTTATGAAAATAGACTATGTTTTTAACTTTAAGTTAAGACCATTATCATAAAAAATGCATCAAAAAAGAAAGTATTAAAGCATTTGTATGTATGGACAGTGTTCTTTACTTGATATGCTTCATTTTCCCCTCTATGGACATAGAGTTGATGTGCTTTGAGTAAAAGTCCAGCGTTCTCTCATTTGTTGGAATCATTGTGGCTGCCACCATCTTGGTAGGCAAATTCCAGTCTGGCTTTTCTATGATTAGTTTTCAATGATGGTGTCCTTCTTGGTCATCTTCCATTAAGTCCACTTTGTTCCACTTTTTTCCAAATTAATCTTAAGTGTACCACTAAAAAGAAGTATTTTTTTAATACTCGCATTGTATAATTAAACTTGTACATCTTTCCCACCAAAAAACACATTTAAACCTGAGAACAATCAGCTTTCAGTACCAGTGTTCCAACTGATCAGCACACAGTGGGCCAGGTGTAAGATAAATATCGTATTTGTATGACAATTTTACCCTCTGTACATTGCAGTCAATATCATCATATATATGAATTTCCATATAATTGCTGTAAGAAACATGCAGAGTTTCAGTGTGCTCTTTCTAATTAATAATGGCTGCATTTGTTAAATCAAGTGCTGTAATTATCTCCACCAAATGATGGTGTACCTCATAAAAATATTTTGGGGTAAACTGTGTTTTCTAGAAATAATTTGAGGAAAAGTGGGATTTATGAGAAAAAGAAATGTGATTGATAGGAGATCTGAAAAACCTTAAAGTTGATTAATTCGGGGCAAAAGTGATTTAAATTCTTCCATAACGCTTTAATCATCCAAACAATACAAACTTTGCTCAGCTCCTGCTGCTCCTCCTGTCACCAAACTCAGATGAATAAATGTTAATATGTATTTTGAGGAGGAGAAATAACCAGTCAGTTAATGTGTTCATTTACTGTTTCCTTTGTTTTCCTAAAATCTAAAAATCCAAAGAAAGCAGCTCATGGCTTTTTTTATCTCCCACAGAGCTCACAGATAAATCAGATTATTGGTTATCAGTTTACAGGTCATAGTTCAACAAGAGAAGCAT